CTCAATGAGTATGATCCGGAGGGTTCAGACATGTTCAGTGCGAAGACAATGGCTTGAATCATTACAGAAGTCCATTGTGCGTGGAGTCACCTTTATTTTTGTTCCGGGACACGCAGGCGTCAATGAAAATGAAAGAGCTGACAGGTTGGCTGGATCCGCTATCACTACCGACGGTCAGCCTATGGATCATGCTGATATTATCAATGCCCTCCGAGAAATGGGAAGGATAGAGGTCTTTGGTGGCAATGAATCCACATCACTCGCCAGAATGGCAGACTTGGGAATTAAGATCGGCACAGCAAAAAACGAGACGCACACCAGACGACTTGTTAATCAACATAGAACTGGTACTATTAGCCATCGGACGTTGGGGTTCATACTGAGGGGAGGATCTGAGCACCTATGGACATGTCCGGAGTGCAATGAGGATAACCCAACTAACTAACTAGATTGATAATACACAGCTAACTAATTAATTGACACGTTTCTAGGACATCCGCTCCTTGTCTATTTATTCAGAACATTAAGCGGTTGTGGTAGCTGGCCGGCTACCACATCCTCCCCTCGAAAAACTCTTTCATACAAAAAATGGGCACGAAAGTGATTATACAGTCGTGTTGCCCGGATTATCAGGCCCTCGCAGTTCCAACACATCGGCTTCCACTCTTCTCTCAAAGGGAAGGTCCAGCTGCTAAAGGACAAAACGTTTCTTATGGGTTCACGCCCTATACTATACGTAAAGAAGTTGAAAACAAACTTCAACCCCACACCTACAAGCATTGAAACCACAATCCGGGAGCATAAGAAACACAAGATCGAGTTCGCTTACGCCGGACAGGGCATCTTTTGGGGTATGACGCCAGTCAAGGATGATGTTATAGACTTCATATATTAACCTCCAATCCACATAACCAGATTTTTTATTATCAGTGGGTGCATTACGAATTCTCAAGACGTGTTTCCTGAAGATACTACTGTGGAAGTACTAATAGAAGAAACTGTGCAACATACGAAGACATTTCAAGTTGTTGGTCACTTTGATAAACACGGCGTGGCCGAGGCATCAGTGCCGACATCCCTGGGTAGAACAGGAGTGTTTCGCATTCACGTCAACTCAAACATGACGCACTGGGTCATTCTTTCAAACATATCTATAGTGCAAGCATAGACTGTTTTGGCATCAAATTTATCTCAGCTTGGCTTGTATAACGTTCCGCAAAGAGGTATCTGGAACTCAAACGAGGACGACATGTGTATTATGGCGTGGGGTTAACATCATATGTTTTCTCCGGAAGAACAATTACAATCTGAAAACGTTATGCGGTAACAGACCAGGTCCGTAGCTATGGCTGGAGTTAGACCAGGAGGAAGCTTTGACAGCGGGATGGAGCACTGATCTGATTCGGCAGCTTCTGCAGCACGCTTGTTCCAAGACTAGTTAAAAAAAGACAGGCCAAATGCTTAAACTTAAAAAAAAAAAAAAAAAAAAAGTGATTATTGAATTTGATAAAATATTTTTGTTTCTGGGTCAAACGATGGTGAAATTCTTCTACAATATACTTGAAAATTTAAGGCTGCCTCCTACTTTGGTTTGTATTTAAGTAAATCCTACCCATGTTCAAAAGTTCAAGTTAGACAGATTTTAAAAAAAGTTTCGATTGCGTAACTAATTTGGAAAAGGAAGTTGACACCGCTGTAGAAAAATGTATTGAAACATTGGCAGGTTATCTCCCTTAGTCTTCTGCTTCTTTAATTCTTCCAGTAGAGCGTTGTGACGAGATGCCAAAAAGGACTTAGTGCACGTAAGTCTATAGCTGCAATTGACACAGAGCAGAGAATACTTTTCACACTATATCAGCACCTGATCCTGTCAGTGGTTAATTATGGCCAGGGACTGCTTACCGTCTCAAAGAGTCAGATGGACAAACTAGAACGCATACAGAACGCAGCTATGCGGGTCATTCTGGGTTGCACCAGAGACACCCCAGTGGTGTGTATGCGATACATCCATGGTTTGCCGACTGTTGCAGGTAGGCACAAGGTGCTGCATGCAAAGTCATATCTCAGGGTAGTTGCAGACACAGACCACCCTTTGCACGAAGCTTTGGTGCAGTTAAGGGTAAGCGGCTGATAAGAGGGAAGTCATAAATGACACAGGCAAAGGACAGTCAGACAGGTTTGCATCCTCGATAACATTAGGCGAGGAGAGGAGTGGGTCAAAGTGCCACCTGAACAGTCAGACTTGTGTAAGGTCATAATTACACTGACCCGGGAATGCAGAGACTGGCCAGCAGGTGCCACAGAGGTGGAAATTCAGCAATTAATTCAAGATAATGCTCGCTCAGAAGATTTGATCATTTACACAGACAGCTCATTGTCAAGAGGCAAAAGAAGTGCTTGGGGTTTCTTAGCAGAAGTTAATGGTCGATGTTTGGCGCAGGAGAGCCTAGCGTATGATACCACAACATCCAGCTTAAGAATTGAGGTTGAGGCGGTCACTGCAGCTTTCCGCTGGCTAGAGAACACGACACACACACACAAACATAGTGACTGTAACTGACTCAGAAAGCATGCTGAGGAAGATCAGGACAGGCATGCTTCGTGCAGAGTGGCATACCTCGCTGCGGAGGACACAGGTGAGGAGTATTGTCTGAATTTTTTTACCAGGGCACGCAGGAGTGTTATGAAATGAACAGGCGGACAGAATGGCTGGCTCTGCACAGCTTGGTGGAATACTGAGGCATGATAAGGCAGATGTGGTTAGTGCCTTGTGGGAGAGCATGTACAGTTCGGTGGAGCAGAAGGATACCCACAGTCTGATGAGATTGATGCAGAGGGGAGTGACGAGAGGTTCTGGCAGATGCTCGAGGCTCAGAGGAAAGGCAAGACAGACGTTAAATCAGAATGCTACTGGCATCATTAAAATCGGAACTCTTCGCTGGCTGCTGAAGATTGGGGCAGAGCGCTTATGGGAATGCTCCGAGTTCTAGGATATCGGTTTTTGAATCAAATCAAATCAAATCAATTCCTCCAGTTACTTTATTGAAGTGTTGGGAGGGGCTGAGGTGGGGATTTGCGAGTGAGGTGCTATTTCTAACGCGCTGTATACATTGTTTTCCTAATTTCTCTAAGCCTGCCCTTGATGCCATTATTCCATATTTTTTGGGTCTTCATCAGAAAGAGACAGTCACCTTTTTTTGTGTCATGTTATGAAAAGGGTGTTAAATGGAATATGTTGTGACCACTGGAAAGATCTGTGGAAAGAGAGACAATACCCATAATTCACATTCATATGTCAGGACTGGAGACTTAAAAGTCTGACAGAGCCACAGCTGGATCAGGCCCAATGGTTCAGAGCAAACCGAAGTACTCAGGACTTTATCTTCACATTCATATGGATGAGTTAAAAAGCCCTTAAATATAAGAGTGAGAGCATTTTATAAGGTTCACTGGAGCAAGCTCTGTGACTGCTTGAAAGGGAAAAAGATCCCAACACCCCTATCAACGCAATACAGTTTCCACAAAAGCTGCAAAAATTATATAAGAACAGCAGACCAAAATCAGAAGAATTTAATACCACTAGCGATGTAAAACAAGGTGATATTCTTTCACCTTACCTATTCATTCTTATGATGGATGATGTCATCAAGACCTGTAAGGAGAAGACAAAGAAGTACTCTGTAGGGTACTGGAAGATGAGACCAATATTTATGTCAGAGCTGGCATTTGCAGACGATGTGACCCTAATAGCTAAATCAGTGGCACACCTTCAATCCAACTTACTTGCCTCGAAGAAAGAGACTAAGAAGAGAGGGATAACCATCAGTGTCTCCAAAACTAAAACCCTAATAGTCTCAAGAGAGGAGAAGAAACAGCAGATAAAGATGGGAATGTATGCATTGGAGCAGGTCAACCAGTTTAAATGCCTTGGAGTTGTAAAAGACCGAAACAGAAGCATTCAGATGGCTACGCGAAAAGCAGCTGCTGGGAGACTTTCCCAGGCCATAAACCGAGGGCTTTTTAGCAAAACAGATATTGGCAAGAGGATGAAAATGGCTGTTTACCGCTCTACCTATGTGCCAGTCCTGACTTACTGGTGCGAGTCATGGGCAATGACAACAGCTCACAGGAGCCAACTTCAGGCCTTAGAAATCGGATATCTGAGAAAGGTGGTCCAAGTGACAAGAAGGAACAAAGTCCACAGTCAGACAATACATCAAAATACTTCATCTTATCTTAAAACCCAGGCCTTACAAACCCAAGTGGATCAGTCACAGTTACAATGGTTTGGACATGAATGCAGAATGGGAGAAAATCGGCCACCATGGCAAGCATGGGAGGCCAAGAAATAGGGAACCAAACCTCAAGGGCAACCCAGACCCCTGGGAAGACAACACCCAATAGTGCGTTCTGTCCCATTGTGATCTGATGTGGGTTTTTTTTTTTTTTTTCTCTCGTTTCCAGAAACATGAAAAGAGGCAACCAGTAAGGCACTGATTCCAGCATCCGTGCCGACTCATCTTTACAATTAGGGCGTCATCACCAAATGCTCACCATCATGATCCAAAAAACACTGTCCCCATCTGTAATTCTGGTGATCATGTGAGATGGTGAAGCATGACAACTTATGCACACATGATGATGACCAAATGCTCAGTACATATCTTCTTTTTCTCTTGTCTTTTTTTTGCCTTTCAGTATCAGGTTTTGAAGAGGCACCAGGTGTGTATCTTGAATAATTACTACTGTGTAGACACATAGCAAGTGTGGAAAAGAACCCTTTACATTTTTAAACCTAAAATTTGTAGGTAAATAAATCCATGTAATTCGGCTTGCGAGAAATATGTTTCTTGTTATAATTTCAGTATAATGGTATTGTTTTCTACAAGGTGCATTTGTTGTATTTTTTGTCCAACAACATAATTTGTTGTAACTTGTTGTATTTTTTCCAATTATGTAAAGTTAACATAGTGTATTTCTTTTCTGTCTTGCAATTTCAGGTTCACATTAAAATTTAGTGGCACTACGATTGAGCTGGATGCCACAGGAGCTGATTATGAAGAATTTCTGTCACAGTTTACACGTAAGGTTAATTCTATTTTCAAGAATGCATTTCCATCTGTGAATACATTTTTGCTGTTAAATTTACATTCTGTATATGTTTCATAATTATTATAAATATCCGATAGAGCTCAAACACTAACTTTATCACTTACATCACAAAGAGGTACTTATAATTTCTGGCCTTGTGAGTTGGGACTGGCCGTTTGCAGAACATCATTCTAATCACAGCCTGCATGAAAGAAACTCTCGCCAGCTGCCTTGCCTTGTGCATTTTCCTAACCAAGATGTCACTTATATCCTGTGTCATCTTCGTGCTGGTCGACCCCTTTTCTTGTTGTTTTTTTTCCTGGCAAAAACTTGTCAAAGAAGTTGGAAGTATTTATGAGAGGTGAGATAAAGGAGGACAATGAGAGAAGATTCTTGCTAACTTTTTGTTATGACACAGAAAGATGTCAGTCAGCACATTGTTAGAGAATTGGTAGAGAATTATTCTCGTCCACACCAATAAATAAACCAACTGAAGATCAGTCTGTATTGTATTGTCAAAAGGACTGGAGTATATAATGAAGGAAAATTCTTAATGCACTTACCTTAGATAGGAGATGAGCAACTCACAGCGAACTACATATAGCATCCTAGTATGACTGTGTTAAACTACAGGGTTCCGGCATTTATTTGATTCTAATCCATGAAATATTGATCCTACAGAATGCAATAATAGATGGAAATTTTGAATTAAAAAAACCATGTTTTTTTTTTCCAAAGCGACTCACAAGAGTGTATAGCACATATAGCTTAGGATTCTGATATCCTTCCAGAATAAGAGGAAGACCCGGGTTCTTTATGGAGAGATGGTTAACTTTTCAAGTCCAAAACAATGCTTGATGTGTGAACGACTCTATCCCTTGATTTTTCTCCAAAGCATAATGTGCTCTATTACTTCTAACATTTGGTCACAGCATATTTAAGAAATCTGGCTTTTCCAATTATCACTGCATGTATGTTTATTGTCACTTTGACCATAATGCATTTATTATTTTGTGATCTGGTTATTTCTTAAATTTGGCATCTCCTGTGAAACTTTTGATTACTGAAAGAGTTAAGCCTCATCCGCCGAAGACTGTGGGTTCGATTTTAAACTCTGCTACTTTGGTTTATGAGTGCAGATTATTCAGAGATCTCTGGGTGACATTGCTAAAGCTACAGATTTTGTGCTTTGTGCAATGCTCTCATGACCAACCCTTTACTCTGTGGACAGAGACTTAGCCATATGAGAAAAGTGCTGTGTTCTCAAGGGCAGCTAACTGTTTTGCAGAGAGACCGGGCCATATGTGATCAAAAAACTTAGCACAATATTGTTGATCACCTTGCCCTTAAAACACCATTTAGGTAGAAGATTAGTTCTGAATGGAACTGCCACTCACTTGTCTTGACACCAGGAAATTAATGCTATAGGTGAAAGTCATAAACCACTTATGAGAATGTGAGAGACAAGGTAAAACCACCACATTTTCCCAAGTTTATGAGCAGTTGAAATGTTTAGAGTGGATTAATTACATGTTCAGAAAATGGATGCCTGTCTTCAGATTTCTTTTCCCCTCACTCTGTATTCTTCTTTTACATTCACTTTCTAAAAAATCTGGCAGAAAGGTCTAGTTATCTGCCTCATTCTGGACTTGTCTTGTTCTTCTTTTTCTTCTTGTAAGCTGTAAGCTCCGTCTGAAAGTCCTGGTTGTTCACCCATTTAGACTGGCTTTTTGCCAGGGTCTGAGTTGTGTGTAAACATCCATATTACTGGCTTATTTGTGTGCAGCTGGTTGTTCCTTGCCACTCGGGCAGATGCACTCTGACTTGAAAGGAAGCCCCCAATTAGTCTACTCCTATGACATGCTTGATGTGGAGGCAGTGGTTATATTCTTGTTTTCCCTTGAATGGGACTCTAGAACCCACACGGGGAAGTCTTGCTCCACAACTTGAGTTTTGTGTGAACATCTCTTTTACAGATCCTGCTAATTTGTATGAAGACCGTGGCCCTTCCCTCACCCAGGCAAATGCACTCCCATTTTGAATGAAATGTTTCTAATTAGTCGGTGGGTCTATTCTTTTTTTTTCTTCTCCCAGAAGCCACACAGGAAGTTTTTTTGATTTAATAACCTGAGATGATTGATATTCTGTATATGTCTTGATTATGTGATAGTGGTTTATAATGAGCATGACACATTAAGTTCAGTTTTAATGAAGAATCACTTTCACAGCATGCATTTGTTTTCATAGATGCAAAATTCTCTCTCTCTCTTTCTCTTTCCTTTAATAAATAATACATGGTGAATCAGCACAGTCCACAAGAATAATTTCAGCACAGTGCACATAGAATATCTTAACACTGTACAAGGAAAAACTCAGCTTATTACCCAAGGAGAATTTCAGTGCAGTCTACAATGATAATCTCAGCAAAAGGCACCATGAAAAACTCAGCGCAGTGTACACAGAGAATCTCTTTATGGTATATACAGAGAATTTCAGTTTAGTGTACAATAAAAAAACTCAACACAGTACACACACTCAGCACAGTATATAAAAAGAATCTCAACGCAGTGTACACAAAGAATCTCAGCACAGTGTACACAGAGAATCTCAGCACAGTTACACCGAGAATCTCAGCACAATGTACACCGAGAAACTCAGCACAGTGTACTCAGAGTATCTCAGCACAGTGTACACAAAGAATCTCAGCACAGTGTACATAGAGAATTTCAGCACAGTGTACACAGAGAATCTCAGCACAATGTACACAGAGAATTTCAGCACAGTGTACACAGAGAATCTCAGTACAATGTACACCGAGAAACTCAGCACAATTACATTAAGAATCTTAGCACAGAATATTGAAGGGCTGTGATAGAACTGACAAAAAACAAACAGGACTCCCTGATGGACAATCGTAAATTCAACAAACTCATTGCTTCTGCCAATCTGGTATACCTGTTGTCACATGTCATGTTTATTGGTTAGCCATCACTAACAGTCCTCTAGGGTCACTTTTCAGGCATTTTCGTCTATACAAATTAACTATTTACACTGCATTCTGCTTACAAAGTAAATCATCCTGGAATATACCCATCCTCAAATCAACACAGCTTCCACATTGCAGTTGCTCACAGTAAAGAACAAATATACATCATTAGGTTTAGTTTGTCAAGATCAGTGACTTTCATTGCCACAATCACTCACTGAACTCGGCTATACTTAGAGATTCCCCACTCAGGTCTTATGCAAGTGCCACACACAGAGTGTCCTCCAGTCTTTTCTGCCTAGCATAGATTTCTTCTTAGTTCATGTATTTAATTAAAATTGCTCATCATCATCAAGTGCCTAGCCGAGAGGCGTGGGCAATCATGCCTCTCCACAATCTACAATTTGCAATTGCATATATCAGTTCATGTGTTGCAAACCACCATGAACAAAGACTGTCAAGAATCTTCTAACGCTGTCTTCTTCTGTCTCTCTTTCCACCGATCTTTTCAGTGATCACAACATGTTCTTTTTTTCTTCTTTTCATAACATAACATGACCCCAAAAAATGACCACTGTCTCTTCCTCATATAATTCTCATGTTACAGTTTATTTTGGACCCACGATCAGCCATAGCAATCGCCTCGTCTTCATACAATCATGTGCTACTTTCTGTCAGGATCTTCACTCAGTGGCTATTGGCTAAGATATGCCACTTACCCACTATTTATGTAAATTGGGATTTCCTCTGACCCTAAATGGGAATCACTAAAACTCCTGCATTAAGATTTTCCAAGATAGTATCAGCACCACTGTATACAGAGAATGTTAGCACAATATACACAGAGGCACTTAGTACAGTGTACACAGAGAATCTTAGCACACTGTTTACAGAGAATCTCAGAGCAATGTACAAAGGACAATCTCAACACAGTATACACAGAGAATCTCACACGATGTACAAGGATAATCTGAATACAGTGTACACAGAGAATATAAGCACAGTGTACAAGGATAATCTCAACACAGTGTACACAGAGAATCTCAGGGCAATGTTGCAAGGACAATCTCAACTCTGTGTACACACACAGAGAAACTTAGCACAGTGTACACACAGAATCTCAGTGCAATGTACAAAGGATAATCTGAACACAGTGTACACAGAGAATCTCAGAGCAATGTACAAAGGATAATCTGAACACAGTGTACACAGAGAATCTCAGGGCAATGTACATGGATAATCTCAACACTTTCTACACAGAGAATTTCAGGGCAATGTACGAGGATTGTCTCAACACAACGTAAAGGAAGGATACTGTAAAATTTCCCTTATTACAAATACTGCAGTCTTATTATTCTTTATACATAATTTTCTTTGTCTTGTTTTAGACGATGAACGTAAGTTTGGCTATGTACGTGTGCTGATGGGAGATGAAATGAGCAAGCGTTCTAAGTTTGTCTTCATAACTTGGGTAGGAAGAGATGTTAGCGCCATGCAAAAAGCAAAACTCAGTGTGGATAAATCAGTAGTGAAGAATGTTATTAAAGTAAGTGCCATGCTGGTATTAATTTTTTCATGTTTTTATCTTCAGTACCAGACAGCATTAGTTACTTAGGGGTTATGAATGTAGTTTTGTAATTCTAACACAAAGGCATCTTTTCACACCTAAGGCACTCTTTCTTCAAAGTAATAGTGCAACTGCGTGAGAGGTGAGGAACCAACAGTCTGCATACAAGTAAGCCAGATTTGTAAAATAGATTTGCATGCAAAACCCAAGTTCTGAAACAAGAGCAAAGTGCAGAAGTAGACAGGCAACCAGAACTTTTTGTCAGAGTTTACAGTTGGTAAATGCTATGAAGAGACGAGGCCTTAGGCACATTGAGCATACAGTACTAGACTTGCTAGACTTATATTATCATAGACCAGTCAGAACTCGATGGGTGATACAGTCAACATGAAGCTAGCCACCTTTACTTCTCAGGACATTACCTGGTACTTATTTTAGGCTGGGCCGACCTGGGCGCATAGGTTAATTTTGAAAAATCCACAGTGCAGATTTGAACCTTAGACCTTCAGGTCAGCAGGTTAATATTCAGCCACTGCTCTAAAGTAACCCTGGTTCTGATATACCAGGGATGAGTTTCAGCTACAGGTAATTTGGCAGCAGATCGCTTTGTGATGATTTTGACAATGAAATGAGCATGAAAACACTCAGGGGAAAAAAAACATCCTCCATGATCTAAATATAAAGGAGAATTGGCTCATAAACAGCATCCTGTCCTGGAAGTTGAGATATTTTGACCATGTTAAAGGACATGGTGGTCTTGAGAGAACGGTGATGGAGGGTGCATTTTCTTGAAATCAAGCCAGAGGAGAACCTTTCCTCGAATGTAAACACAAGACACTGAAGATTTATTGGTTAAGAAGGGGTGGAGAATTGGCTAGAGGAAGAGAGACATTTAGGTGTGCCGTGAATGTGAGCGACGTTCTGTAAAGGACCTGCATACTGGTAATAAGAGTGAAACCATTTAGGAAGAAAACTACTGCTTCTTCTTCTTCTTCAGCATATCGAGCCCTTGAGGTTCATTGCTGCCGGTATCACTTGCCTCCACTGATCTCTCTGGTTGGCCTTCTCTTTCCAGTTGGTAACACCAAGTGTTTGCAAGTCTCTCTGGACATTATCTCTATTCTACTAATGAATACAAAATTGCTTAGGGAAACCATAGGCAGCAAACAAACGCTGCAGTTGGTTTGTGACATCTTGTAAGAGACAGGCAACTAATTTTGTTTTCGTGTTCAGTAATTCATTAATGGCTGTGTTAGGTTAGTGCAGTTGATAGGAGTCTTGCTTTGAAATCCAGCTGCTACTCGCTGCAGCCCACGGCCGGTGTTTGAAGCTGGGCGGTTCCTGGGGGTTCACCCAGCCTCTAGCTACAATGATGTATGAATGAATAACTGCTTGCAAGGATTGGAGTGGAAGAGCAGAATGTTAGACAAGCCTGCGTGCCCCATTCTTAACCATTTGAAAAATAAATTTTGTTCATTCGTTCATTCATTCATTCTTTCTTCACGTTCACTGGCTGCAAACTGGCAGAAAGTTCTGGTTGTTCGTTTAGAAGTGGAAAAACAACCAGAGTTTACAGCCAGTGAAAGTAAAGAAAGAATGAATGAACGAACAATCGAATAAACAAGCTTTATTTTCAAAGGATTAAGAATTGAACAAGAAGATGAGATCACTGGAGCAATAGAGTTTGTACTTTGTGGGACAGTCTTGGCAGTCACATATCCACTTTATAAAAAGAGAGAAATTCATACAGTTCATTAAAGAGCAACAGATAAGATGTTCTGGCCCTCTGATGAGAATGTCCTAACACAAGAATGCCCTAGGACTAGATGAAGATGAAATGACAGCATTAAGAACAGCCTTAGAGGAATGTAGATCCACTGATACAACAAATTAGAAAAGCGCACAGAAAATCCTTATGTCTCCTCAATGAAGTAACAGAAAAAAACAAAAGGAGAAGGAGAGAGACTCAACCATATGGAGTAAAGCTGTTATAAATCTGCGTTTCAGAACAGGGCACCACCGGTTATGCAGCCACACATACGCAAAATTAAAGAAGGGTGTATCAGCCATGTGCACATGTGGAAAGTCACCTCAGACAGCAGTCATATCCAAGACTGCACTTAATATGACACATTAATGTAAACCTATTGGCCAACAAGAGCAACAGTGGAAAGTAAACTCTATGAATGAATGAATGAATATCGGTGACAGTAAAATTTATAGGGCAGACAAAATTTCTGAAATAGACAACTTATTTCAGGTGAACAAAAGAAGATGGAGAAGAAATAAAGCCTGGTACAGTGACAGTGACCTTCCTACCCTCCTGACTTTAAACCTCAAGAATGTATCTAGTTGTATTTGTGAACCAATTAATTCTTACTAGACACATATCTGTTCCACAGAATTTTGCCGTAGAAATCTTAGCCGAAGATCCAAGTGATATCTCCTTGGAAGCAGTGAAAGAGAAGCTTAGGAAAGCTGGAGGGGCTAACTACGGCACTGGAGTCGCCTCATAACAAGGATTATTTGTTTCATTTCCTGTTTGTTGACCAATTCAAAAACAAAAAATTATGCCTTTCAAATAATCAAAGCAATGTTTCCCCGTTGTAAATTTGAACAAAGAAGACACAAACAATAGACTGCACAATTTATTGCCTGGCATATTTCGCTGTATCTCATCAGGTGCATACTTCAGTAACAATTAATTAAAATGAAGCAAATAGCTGAATCCTAGAAACTGAAACACAAATTCGAGTAGATTTCAAACTGTTTTACCAAGGTAAACGTAGGGCAACGACCATTTCCTTTTGCCTACAAAGTTCCGGTTTCAATATGCCAATCGCTGAAGCTTCCGCGTATCGAAGTAATCTACGGTTAGCCGAACTGTAAATAATTCGGAATGCATCATCCCTGTTAATGATGTGCCCGGAATTTAGAATATGGCACGCAATTGCTGATGATGGATTATTTCGACAAGTTACCTGATTCGTTGTTGTTGAGGTGTTAGTGTTCTGCATTGCTTTTACCAACCATAGTGGAATATGTTCAGCAACCCGTTTTCAGTTTGAAATCTACTCGAATTTGTGTTTCAGTTTCTAGGATTCAGCTATTTGCTTCATTTTAATTAATTGTTACTGAAGTATGCACCTGATGAGATACAGCGAAATATGCCAGGCAATAAATTGTGCAGTCTATTGTTTGTGTCTTCTTTGTTCAAATTATGCCTTTGCCTGCAATCAAACATTTTATATAACCCAAAAGTGTACATGTGTGCTTGTAGACGTGTTGGGACCAATGCAACAGTCACTGATTGATATGATGTGTGACAGAATATACCACTGTGTTTTTCAAGTTATGATCCCTTGAGTGTTCAGCTGAACACAGTATTAACAGATAACAACATTAGAGATAACATTCCAAATGTCCCAGAGTATGCTACATCAGTTACTTGTATCACTTTTGTTATCAGTGATAATAGTTATTTCTTAACACGTTAGTATGTAAAGCAATTTTAACCTACATTTGGCCTTTTTATCATAAAAATATATGAATTAAAAAATATTTCACTTACTGAAGAATACAACTGCTGATTATTTGTCACTGTCCTGTTTGTCAGATCTGTTCATTATTGAATATTATACTTTCATTGTATTTGCCTTACCAAACACGTTTGGACAAATTCAAAATTATCGTTGAAACCAAAGTATTTTCATTTTAAAAACGAAAGCAAAAGTTGATTAATTTTAGATGTTGATTAATATCCCCAAATACAGTTCAAAAATATACAAGTTAAAAAACATTACAAGCTTCTAGAACAGACTTAGAAAACTGGAACACAAACTGTGACTTGAAAACGCGAAGGACAGAACAGTTCTAAAAGAGAGCAGTAGATGCACATATCGAATACAGCCAACTACCTTGGTGGAGATGTAACAAATTCACAATTACACAGCTTGACAATGCTTTATCCGTTACTTGTTCTGGAGCAAACATTAGCAATTATGATTCTGCAGTCCTTTCTGTTATCTTATATTTTTATGAAATTATACAATGTTTTATATAAGCTGTAGATCTATAGCCAAAAACAGTAACAAGACATGCATAGTGATTTGTTTTTCAGAATAGAGTAAGGACACAGAAAGAGATGGAAAATTGTCTTTCAGAATTAACCAGGAAAATCAGAAACTGGAAGCCATTCAGGTACAATCGTGCTGCTGCTAAAGAGTTATGAGCAAAACAAGTCTCTCAATATGAGGAGAGTTAAAAGTTTTGTGAACTAAAGTTAGTCAGTCAGTCAGTCTTTCTTTTCAGCCTAGGGTGGTGCAGAGCTCATAGCTCTCCATTCCTGGCGGTTCGTTGCCACCTGTTTTAGGCTTGGATGTCATTAGGCTATTGGTTGAGCCTTCCCTGATGATGGTTATATGCAGGATCTCTCTTGGTCTTCCCCATTTTCTGTTTCCCTCTGGTGTCCATAGGAGAGCTTGATGGAGAGAGAGGGGGGGGGGGGGGGGAAGTCTGGTCTTGTCCATTCTGAGTGTATGGCCAATGTATATTCAACAGCCCTTTATTATGAAAATGGATAAATCATCTTGCTTGGTCTCTTGTCTTATATGCGTATTGGAACTGAAATCTGCCCAGTTGAGATGTAGTTTTCTCCTGAGATATGTGTTCTTCAATTTTTTTTTTTTTAATTTAGAGCTACAGTTGCTTTCCAACTCTTGCCTCCATGGAATCACACAGAAGATCTTAAGTTTTGTGTGTTTGCTGAATGTCTTTGACTTCCAGATGTTTGACAGTTTGTTGAAGGCACTAGAAATAAGTGTGATTCTAGATGATATTTCAGGCACTGACTCTCATAAAGATGTTATCTTACTCCCTAGGTATGTAAAGCTGTTGACTTTTTCAAGTAAAAGAATTCTCTGTTTGACAAAAAAGAAAAGAATTGAAGTGAAATACATAATTCACAAATGTAATAGAATCTTTAAAACAAGCACGTCTTTAAATCGGTGTACTTCATTTTAATGTCCACTCAGTGGCTTGTGTATCGGAAACATGAAAAACAAGTTCAATAGTCACAATTAACCACTAACACCAAATACAATCAAGCTGGAAACTAATTAAAGATAGGTTATAAGTCAGCCACATATTTCAAATATAACAAGACCAAAAAGTGTACTATCAATTTTATTTTAATATGGGTGAAATTGTAAAATTATTATATAATTATTGTGAAATTATTTTAATATGGGTGAAAGTGTAAATAAATGGAAGCTGCCACAAGTCTCTGTTACCTAAAGGTTAGTTGCGTTTTCTTTACAGGATTTTGCAGAACCAACTCCAACAGCCCCTGGCTGTGTGGTTTTTCTAGGCAAATTTACGTCCTGTAGTTTGCCGTTGCTTTTGGGAAGGTCGGCTTTCTTGATACCACTATTGAAACCAATGCAAGGCACGTGGCTCGCAGCTGGGATCAAACCCGGCATCACGGCATTACGAAGAAGTTCGTATTGACTTAGCCACAGAGCTGACTCTGTTAGGTTATACATTTTTATTCTCAGGTTTAATAGCAGATATTGAGGGATTCAGGAAGGTAGTATCTGGTAAATAACCTCCATCATCATTTTTTTAAACTTCCAGTCAAAATAGACGCTAGGCAGGGGCACTATTTGGAGCCAAGGCAAATTTTTTGCTTCCGCCGGATGGTGGCCAATGCATTTTCGCTCCATTTGCAGTCTGGATATAGTTGCGTCGCCCAACTTCTGAGTTGAATGCATGGCATGATACTGTGAGCTGCGGATTTCATTTGAAATGTTTTTTCGACTGTGACCAACGTGGTGGTGTGAATTGTAGATTCAGAAAATGGCGCGATGCCTGTCGTGGCAATGTTGGTGGTGCCCGTATGTGATTAAAATTGATCGTGTGGGCAACTGCTGATCTGTTGGTGACTTTTGCTGCCATCAATGATGAGCTGCATTTCTAATGTCGGACTGTTTGTGTTAGCACTTCGGATAGCTACCATATGCTTTAATGCGAGTGTATGCTAGATATGCTGAGACAGCAGTCTGTCAATCTTTCCACAATGGACTGTGATAAACATTCTGTGTGTTTTTCGTTGGCACAGGAGCGGAGCAAAGATGGGGTCACCCGTTTGCTATGAAGCTGAAACTAAGACTACCAGACTACTAAACAACCTCCATGAAAAATCACAAATGAATTTTAGTTGGCTAAATATTTACTTGAGATCAGATAGCCTAGTGGTTAGAGTGCTTGTCTGGTGAGACAGTGGTCCTGGTTCAATCCCCCAAAAGTGGCGATGTTTTTCTTTAGTTAGTGCAATTACTAACAATACATTGCACAATTTACTGTCAGGCATATTTCGCTGTATTTCACCAGGTGAATTACTATATTGTTACTTCAGCATATAAGGAAACACAAAAACTGAATTATTCGACTGAAATATTAATGGTCTCTCTGGATACATGTACATCTAATCACCAGAAGTTCATGATAGTCATGCGACTTACCAGCGTAACTTTCAATTTTTAACGAATTCCTTCTGCTAACAATAGGATTTGTTTTTGAAGAGTATGACTCTGAAGTTGACCCAACCTGAAAAAAGTAAGAATAAGATAATTTCCAGAATGAACCAGACAATTTCCAGAGTTGTTTCAGAGGGAAGAAGAAGAAACAAGACATGTATAAACTTCTAAATCCTACAATGACAGGGGTATAAAAGTATAAACACCTAGGATATGCAGGGGTACTCCCAACAAAAACAATAGCAGAAGCCCTTTACCAATTATTCGCGTTCATCGACTGTGAACACGAGTTGCATGCACATCCGTTGTACAGATTTGTCAAACTTGTATGCAGACTGTTTCTACTTCTTCTGGACCCTCTTCTTCTTCCTCTGATTCTTTGTCTTTTTATATTGATGTTGACATTTATTCCCCCACCTTTCGTTATGAGTTAACAAGCATGTGTGTTTATATATATATATATATATATATATATATATATATAATATATATATATATATATATATATATATATATATATATATATATATATATATATATATATATATATATATATATATATATATATGTGTGTGCATATATATATATATATGTATATATATATGTATACATAAACAACATGTATGTAAATGTGCACTATGAGTGTTCCCAAGCAAGTGTATGTGTGATACAGTCAACATTAAAATACAAAGAATGCTGAGAAGAATATTGGCCCCATCAGGCAGAAAGCCTCGAGATATTAGACCATACAATGTATATACCAAAAGGGGAGAGGGATGTAGAGCCCCAAAGTGGACCAGAAAAAAATGGAAAGATAGCATCGTAAGACCTCTTCAACAGTATAAAGTGTTTGTGGCGACCAGAAGAGCAAAATTCAAATTATGTATCTGTCTTGACACCGAAAGCGACAGACGAGTAAGTGAAGAATAACAATAAGCAGATGAAGATAGAATGTTCACTTGGAGATACAACTTTATATA